AGGACTGCACCCCATGGAAGGGACCCACGCTGGAGCAGTTCGTGAAGAACTGCAGCCCGTGGGAGGGACTCAGTTGGAGAAGTTCGTGGAGAACTGTCTCTCACAGGAGGGACCCCACGCTGTAGCAGGGGAAGAGTGTGAGGAGTCCTCACCCTGAGGAGGAAGAAGCAGCAGAAACAACGTGTGATGAACTGACCGCAACCCCCCTGCGCTGCTCGGGGTGGGAGGAGGTAGAGAAAATGGGGAGTGAAGTTGAGCCCAGGAAAAAGGGAGGGGTGGGAGGAAGGTGTTTTAAGATTTGGTTTACTTCTCAATTATCCTACTCTGATTTGATTGGTAATAAATTAAACTAATTTCCCCAAGTCGAGTCTGTTTTGCCCGTGACGGTAATTGGTGAATGGTCTCCCTGTCCTTATCTCGACCCACGAGCCTTTCATTATATTTTTTCTCCCCTGTCCAGCTGAGGAGGGGAGTGATGGAGTGGCTTTGGTGGGCACCTGGCATCCAGCCAGGGTCAACCCACCACAACAGTATAGATATCCAGGTAGATTTTCAGATACAGATGGCACAGTTTGTATCTAGCATTATTGTGCATCTCTGGTTTGACTTATTATTTATACTATTAGAATGCCTTTTTTACAATTCTACTTTCTGATACTAGCAGTAATAAAGAAAACCAGGGTTGTTAAGGATATGGTGTTAACATGACTCCCTGTTTCTGGACTGTCCTAATGCTACAATAGTGGCAATAATCATAAAAATAGACTTGTTCCCTTTTTTCCCTGCTCACAACTGCAAGCACAAAGCAGTGTGTGTGTGTGACTTTAACATGCAAGAGGGAGTGGTGGAGATTTTAACATCATGTTTACGTCTTTGAAAGTATTTTTGTGCATAGATGACAACCTTATTGCCCTATAGCTCTCCTGTGAATACATTTTGGCTCGTGGCTGTTTTCCATTCCTGAGGCTCAAGTGTCTTTACTTCAGGCCTGAGTACATTATTTTGCTCCAAAAATAGGTTGATGAAGAGAGGGGGAAAATGTCATTAGAAGTTTAACTGCTTTTCAGATGTTGAAAAAACTAATTTAATTTGGCAAGAACCCTGATTAATATGCATCACGAGCTGTAGCATGAAAGAATTACCTGTTATTACATAAAAATAACTATTAGCGACCCTTCTGAATAGGAAATGAAGAATCAGGAAAAAATAACCTTCAGTAAAATGTTGCTGGTATCTCTGCAGGAGAGTTTCTTCGTAGAGGAAGCACTATCTGCACCCTGACAGCACAATCTGAGCAGTTATCAGTCCTTTGCTTTCCATAGGTGTCAAGAATTTCTGAACCATGTGAATGGATTTTTGCCAGTGATGACCAACACTCAAATTCCTCTGGCTGCCTTCTCGCTCTTATATGGTCATTATTTTAACTATTTGATCTCTTTTGCCCGTAGATGCTGCTATCATGGTTTCTAAGTCATTGCTGAGATTATGGGAGCTAATAAAAAAAAGATCTATATACCCTCCACCAAAAAAGCAGTAAAAATTGTTTAGGCAATACATCTCCTTGGCATTTGAGTCTCTTCCCTTTTTTCCCCCCATTCTAGCTCTTCTTTGATACCTCTTACTCCCTGATCTCACTCTTCTAAACAGAAACCCAGGTAAAAGCTGACTGGTTTTTCCTTTCATTATGCTCAGGTGCCAAGACAGTGAAAATATTACTTTACTTTTAAATGATCACATTACTGTTTTCTCATTCATATAAACCTTAGAATCACCCAAGAGTAAACACAGGCTATGAACATCCTTTAGATGTATAATTAATAATATACTCAGGAGAATAAGGACTGCGGTTGTTGCTGTTTTTTAAGCAAGCGAAAGACATAAATTTGATTCAGCATTGATTTTTGGAGAAGTGTGTTCCTTTGGCTCAATAATAATTTTAAGTAGGATGGTTTAATGTGATGTCATTGTTTGTGCATGGTAAGAGAAAATGCAGTATAGACATGAGAACACAAAGAGGTGAAGACCGCATGGTAGCTGGATAAGGTCAGCTTGCTACCTGATACGCAGTATAGAGTGTTACCTGAAGATGTGGAAGTGAGTAAGAGAGGAACAAAAATTTCAGTAAGGGCTAATGAAGATGGATAAGTATTAAATATACTTAGGCTAAATATAGATTAACAAAACACACGCATTTTTCACCCCTGCAAGAAGATCATCCTTCTTGGGAACGATTACTGAATTTCTAGTGAAATGCATGCTACTCAAAATAGCACTAGCCTTTTTTCCTAGCATGCTTTAAAGTTTGCTTCTGCAAACACTTTGG